AACAACAACAACAACAATGACTAATGATTTTAAGCATGTTTTCATATGTTTGTTAGCTGCTTGAATGTCTTTGGTGAAGTATCTGTTTGTGTCCTTTGCCCATTTCTTAATTAGATTGTTTGCTTTTTTGTTGTTGAGTTATTGAATTTTTCTATAAATTTTAGAAATTAGCCCCTTGAGGAGAGATTCTAACCTTGTCAGAATGGAAGAGATTGGCTTTGACTCTTTTCGTCTTAGAGATACCTTAACTTCTTACAAATTTAGCCAATTCTCTCAAGTGGCCAGATCTTAAGCGGGCTTGTGAAAGACAATCTTTGTACACCTCAAAAAATCCTGTTATACCTTTGTTGTATCTCAGTGTGTATCTTCTGGCCTTTTATTTGCAATAACTACAAACTCAAGTGTTCAGTGAAATACCAAAGGGGTTTTACTCCAAAGTGAGTAAACTTATGATACTTTTCAGACAGAAGCTACTGGAAGCTTTCCTTAATGACAATAACAATAATATTTATTATAATAATATCCAGCTCACTGGGCAGTCTTCTATACATGAATGCATAATTTAATCCTTACAACAAATTTGCAAAGCAGGGGACTTGATTTCATACTTAGGAACTTTATTATTATCAAAAAGGTAATAAGAGCTAACATTTCCGAAACACCTTCTTTGTTCTAGGTATTGTGCTAGGTATACATATATATATGTATAAATGCTATAGCTAATCCTGGAGTCCTGGTGTGAGGCTGCAGGATTAAGTACTGGACTGCTAAGCAGAGGCTCAGTGGTTTGAATCCATAAGCCACTCCTCAGAAATTCTATAAGGGTTGCTATGAATCGGAACCGACTCATCAGCACTCAACAACAATAACATTGGCGATTTTTATCATAAGACCAGGTCCTTGGGTAGCACGGATGGTTTGTACTTGACTGTTAACTTCAAGGTTGGCAATTCAAACCCACCCAGAAGTATCATGGGAAAAAAGAGTGGAGATCTGCTTCTGTTGAGATTACAGCCAAGAAAACCACAGGCAGTAGTTCTATGCTGTAACGCACGGGGTCACCATGAGTTGGAAATGACTGGGTAGCAACTAACAACTGTAAATATACCGTAAGGCCA